TACCCAAGTTACATACCTTGTAAGTACTAAAAATAGGACACTTGAATCAGGCACTTCGACCATAAAGTCGGTCTCCAGTCATCAGAAAAGATTCAGGTTAAAACAACAGGAAGGAAGGAAGGGAGGGAGGGAGGGAGGGAGGGAGGGAGGGAGGGAGGGAGGGAGAAAGGAAGGAAGGAAGGAAGGAAGGAAGGAAGGAAGGAAGGAAGGAAGGAAGGAAGGAAGGAAATAAAAGACCTACCTTGGCCCATGAGATGGTTTAGTGGGTAAAGAAGGTACCTGCTATCAAGCTTGACAACCTGAGTTCAATTCTCAGGGCCCACAGAGTGGACAAAGAGAATCAAGTTCCACAAATTGTCATCTGACCTTAAAAACACCATAACATGTGCACCATGGCACTCTCATGCACTTGCATACACACATGTGTGCGTGCAAAATTTCCCAAAACTTAAATACTTAACTCTATATCCAATATCTGTATACTTCATTGTCTGTATATAAGATGTCAATAAAACTGACTTGGGGAAGTCAGGCGTTGGTGGCTCACACCTTTAATCCCAGCACTTGGGAGGCAAAGGCAGGAAGATCTCTGTGAGTTCAAGAGGTTAGCCTGGTCTGCGTAGTGAGTTTCAGATCAGCCAAGGCTTCACAGTGAGAACCTGTCTCAAAAACAAAAACCAAGCAAAACAAAGAAGCAATGCAGGGGCTGAAGAAATGGCTCAGTGATTAATTGTAGTTCAAGGAAATCCAACATCTAGCCTCTACAGGTTCCAAGTATGAGTTACCTACCAAGCCAGATTTACTGGCTTCTGCCTAGTTTTCTGGCCATATTAACTTTTTTGGGGGTAATGGGAGGGTTGAGACAGGATTTCTCTGTGTAACAGTCCTGGCTGTCCTGGAACTAGCTCTGTAGACCAGGCTGGCCTCAAACTAATAGATCTGCCTGCCTCTGCCTCCTGAGTGCTGCAATTAAAGGAGTGTGCCACCACCCAGCATGTACTTCTTATTACCCCTATCACTACTATTCTGGTCCAAGCCACTATTCTTTGCCTTAATTACAACATCTTCCTTAACTATGCTCCCAATTCTACCTTTGTCCTCCATCATTGCTTTCTCAATAGAGCTTGAGAAATGACCCAATTAAACATTAAATTGCATTATATGATGCTTTCTCTCCAATGATTTCCCATCTCAGGACAAAAATCAAACTTCATCCTAAGACCAACAAAGCTGGAACAGGATCAGCCCTCTAAACATTCTGATCTCCTGTGCTACTATCCAACCAATGTCCCCAAACATATCAGACATATTCTTACCTCAAGGCCTCCTGTGCCCTCCCCAAGGAAAGCTCTCCGGTAGACATCCATCTGACTAGCTCCCTCACTTTACTCCTGCCCTTTACTCACCTTCAAGATACTATCTCTGGCTTTCATACCAAAATTATCAACCCCTTATCTTTACTGCCTCACCACATATGCACAGATTACACCATCCTCTTTCTTCTTAGAACCTATCCACTATCTAACCATAGATTACAATTCATCCACTTACTCAGTTTACTGTCTGCTTCCTATGCATTGTGGACTTTAGATGGCACAGATTCATACTGTATCCTTAGTACCTAAAACAGCATCTGGCACCAAGTAAAGGCTTAATAGTGCCTAAGTAAGATGAATGTATAAGCTTGGAATGACAGAGATTATGGAGAAAGCTAACCAGGAACAGCTAACTGCAAGCTGAGAATGGTGGTCCAAGCGTGTCATCTCAACACTCAAGAAGCTGATACAGAAGGATTGCCACAAATTCAAGGCCAGTCTTTGCACCATAAAGTCAGCCTGGAATACAGGTTAAGACACTGTCTTAAAAAAAAAAAAAAGACAACAAAGAAACAGCTAACTGAAGATAAAGAGCCATATCTCAAGCTTCAAGGGAAGCCTTGCCTACCAGATGTCATCTCTAGTTACATCAGTTCATGGTAAAATTGGCAGATAACCTTAACTTATCTGGATACTTCCAAATTCACTGTCTATGCTCAATCAATAAATTCTTGGAAAATGAAAATCACAAAGCTTGAAGTAAAAAAAAATGGACCGTCTCCATATTATGGACTATACTTTAACAGAAATGTGCCAGGCATTGGTGGTGCACGCCTTTAATCCCAGCACTTGGGAGGCAGAGGCAGGAGGATTTCTGTGAGTTCGAGACCAGCCTGGTCTACAGATAGAGTTCCAGGACTGGCTCCAAAACAGAGAAACCCTGTCTCGAGAAAAAAAAAAAGAAAAAGAAAAAGAAAATGTATTAGAAGGCAAATACCAGAAGACATACTTAAGACTAGGATTTTGAAGTAATACTATGTGGACAAAAGAAATCAAGGGATCTTCTAAGCCCAACTGTCACTCATCACACAATTATATGATCATAATCTCCCAGAAACTGCTTCTGGTATCCCTTTCCATGTCACTCTTAACTAGTTGTTTTTAAAAAAAATTAAACTGTGGGCGGTGGTGGCACACGCCTTTAATCCCAGCACTCCGGAGGCAGAGGCAGGTGGATTTCTGTGAGTTCGAGGCTGGGCTGGACCGACAGCCTCCAAAACAAGACAGAGAAACCCTGTCTTGTAAAAACCAATAAATAAATAAATAAATAAATAAATAAATAAATAAATATTAAAAATTTAAACTGAGCACCTTTAATCCCAGGACTCAGGAGGCAGAGACCAGCCTGGTCTACATAGTGAGATCCAGGATCTCCAAGGCTATGTAGAAAGACAATGTACCAAAGCAAAAAAAAAAAAAGAAAAAAGGAAGGAAGGAAGGAGGGAGGGAGGCCTGGCCAGAAGTGACGTTATACAGTCATCATTAATTCTAGTACTTGGGAGAATCAAAAGTTCAAGATTATGTAAGATCCTGTCTCAAAATAACAAGCAAAACAGCAAACAACTGGGCTGGGTGTATAGAGGTATGGCTTAGTGAATGGTGCTTGTCCTGTTTTCATAAGGCCCTGGGTTCAATCTGAAAAACCATTTCTTTAAAAGGAGGAAGCGCAAACCTAAGAGTCAGATGTGGTGACACAGACTTGGAATCCCAGCTCTCAAGGTAGGACTATAAAGAGTTTAATGCCTAGCCTGGGCCGCAGAGTAAAATCCTGTCTCAAACAAACAGCATCATTCGGGGTAGAATACTTTACTTGCCTAGCATGTGTGAGAGTCCTGGGTTCATTTCCCAGCCTGGGGGGGGAGTAAGGAGGAGCGGGTAGTCTACTATACAAATGTAAGAAATTACCAAATTCTTGAATTTTGTTCATTGTCTACTAGAAAAAAAAATTAGCACAATGTCCTCTTTGCAAAACTTTATACTGAAACCCTGGAGGGAAGGTGTGGCTCTGGGAAAATAGTTCAGAAGTAGTATTTGCCTGATATGTGCAAGGCCTTCATATGCAGTATCCAATACCACACACAAAAAAGAAATGAACTCTTCTCAAAACAAAGCTGAATTATAAGTTATCAACCATAGGGTATTACTCTATACAAAATAAAATGATCACACAAATCAAGGCTTCAAACTAATCTTTAGTGACTGTCGATCACTGCTTCCCTGATGTTGAGAACGGCAGCAAAGGAACAAAAGGGTACATTTTAGGGGAATGAAAATGCTGTTTCCTCAGAGTTGATTAAACGGCTGAATGCCTGTCAAACTTAAGTCTAGAGATGTAATTCAGTTGACAGAGTGCCTGACAAGCACGGGTTCTGGATCCCTAGCAGGGCACACACAGGAACATTAGAAGTTCAAGGTCTAAACAGACGACAACATAGTTGAGATGAAAGACAGCCTGAGATACATCAGACCCTGTCTCAGGAAGAAAAAAATTATCTACTGTACAATGGCCTCAATTGTATAAAGAGATTTGATCTGAAGAGCTAAGATAAAGGGTTGAGAGCGATCAGATTTAGCTTAATGGTACACTTGCCTAATAAGGCTAAGGCCCAGGGTCAATCCCCAATACCTTACGAAGTTTTAAAAATAAAAACTAAGAGGGGGGAGGGGAAGGAGAGGGAGTTGGGATTGACATGTGAAACAAGCTTGTTTCTAACTTAAATAAAAAAATAGAACTAAAGAAAATAAAAATAAAAAATAGAGGGAATATATAGTCAATGGCAAAAGGGGAAAAAATCATGGCTTCTAGGTCAACTCAAAATAAGGGAGGGAAATATAAAAAAAAAAATAAATCAGGCCACCATCCTTTTAACTCTGCACTCAGTAAGCAGAGGCAGGCAGATCTCTCTGAGTTTGAGGCCAGAGTGGCCTACTTAGAGCTCCAGGACAGGCAAAGATACACAATGAGACCTTGTCTTTAACAACAAAAATCAATTGGCTAGTCGGGAATAGGGGTGGCAGGAATCTCGGCTCCACTGGAGAGAGCAGTCATTGTTTAAGAGCACAAACTACACTCTCAGAGGATCCAGGTTCAGTACCCAGAATCCACGTCAGGAGGTTCACAACCTCCAGTTACTCCAGCTCCTGGGGTTGTGACCTCCTCAGGCACCGAAACACTGATGCACAAGCCCTCGTACACACACATCATTTTTAATTTTGTAATTAAAAAGAATTCTCGGCTTCTCCTCAAGAAAATAAAAGCCCCAAAGGCAGTGTTTCCTAAGGCGTACTTTCTGGAAAGTAAGGAGCAGTTCTGAAACGGGTTCGAGTGGATTAGGTCATTAAGTGTGTGTGTGTGACCTTGAGGGCTCTCGGCCTCTGCAAGCCTCAGTTTCTCTGCACGGAAAACGGGCTGAGGGTCTGCCATGTGATCTAGCAGACCGCGAGGACTGCATGCATTAAGAAGCGCACGCTGTCACCCGAGACTGCAGCCATGGAGAGCCCGTGCCTGCCTCCCAGGAGGTCCCTCAGAGGGTCGCGGCCCCTTCCAGGCGCGCGACGGCTGCGCGTGGCCTCCACCCCTCACCCCAGCAGCGCGCGGCGGCCTCCCGCCTCCCAGGCCCGCACCTCGCTGAGGAAGCGGGTGATATCGTAGACTCGCCCGTGGATCACCATCCACGTCTCCTCCGCGGAGTTTCGCTTCGCCACCTCCTCCAGCCGGTAGTAGGTGACGGAGGGGTCGCAGCCCTCGCCATTCCCTCCGCTGCCGCTGGCCCCTGAGGTCGCCATTGGGTCCGAGTGCCTCTCTACCGCTATCTGGGCTTCTGCAGCTAACTTCCTTCAGGTCCGGCCCGCGCTTGGCCCTCGTCGGCTTCCGTAACCGGGTAAAGCCTGGTCCGACCTTCACGTAACCAATCAGCGTCGCCCAATCCTTCCATCCTTACCAATCAGATACCGTGATTTTGGACCGGCGCCTAAACGTTGCCGGGTGACAGGTGTCACCTCAGGAAAGGGTTCTTTCTCTTCGCTGGGCCCGCAGGCAAGCGTAGTCCTGAAAGAGCCGGGTCTCCAGAGCCTCTTTTCCCTTCCCTCTACCCTGGGTTCCCCGAGTCACCGGAAGCTCTATCTTCGCGAACAGAATTGCAGCCCCGGGGTTGCTCTGGTTCCCCTTAGGCTCCAAACGGCTCCGCAATAAAAACGGGCGTGATGACCTCTACCTTCCTTTTGGAAACGCTTGGCACACTAAATGGGAGTGTGTAAGGAAAGGTCTGAGCACACAGCAGTCGCTGTGTAAATGCAGCTGGTTTTGAACACCAGGGCTCTACGCCCAAGGACAGCACTTGGGAGGGCATGAGCAGATAGATACCCTAAGTTTCCTCCACTACCGACAAAATCACTCTGACGGAATTTTTCCGTGATCAGGGCCTGTCAACACTATTTTAGTTTTTAAATGACCTAAAATGGGACTTACTTCGGACCCCTGCTAGAAGTCTAGGTATTTCGGAATTCCAAGTTAATGTTCAGGGTTGTGAACCTCTTATCTTTTTTGTTTGATTGTTTTTTTTTTTTTTTCTTGAGACAGGGTTTCTCTGTTACAGCCCTGGCTGTCCTGGAACTCACTCTGTAGACCAGGCTGACCTTGAACTCACAGAGATCCACCTGCGTCTGCCTCCCACGTGCTGGGATTAAAGGCGTGCGCCACCACCCAGCTGAACCTGTTGTCTTTAATTGCCAGTAAAACTAATAGGCTGATCATCCTAAAATGTTTCCATCATGTCACCTCACAGCCTACCACCCAGGACATTCCGGAACCTATCTGCAATTCACTAATATTTTACTTATTTACCTATGTATTTTGAGACATATGTCACCATGTAAGCCTGACTGACCTGGAACTCACAGAGACCCATGTGCCTCTGCTTCCCAAGTGCTGGATTAAAAGTGTTTCATCAGCCGGGCGGTGGTGGTGCTCGCCTTTAATCCCAGCACTCAGGAGCAGAGGCAGGTGGATCTCTGTGAATTAAAGAGGCAGCCTGGTCTACAGAGCGAGTTCCAACAGTCTCCAAAGCCACAGAGAAACCCTGTCTCGAAAAAAGTAAGTGTGCATCATCATTGTGTGCCAAGTCCATTTTTCATATCTTATTTCCCTAATTACACAAACTATGTGCTGTAGTTTGCTCTGACGACTGTCATAAATCACTGACCAAAACTAACTTGGGGAGGAAAAGGCTTATTTGGCTTATGAGTTATAAGCCATCTTCCACGAAGCCAGGGCAGGGCCACCTTTCCTATATAGCCCAAGCACACATGCCTAGAGATGATGCCCCTCACAGTGGCATGGGCCCTCCTACAGCAACTAGCATCAAGAAAATGCCCTATGAGACATGCCTGCAGGCCAATCTGAGGAAGGCAATTCTTCATTTAAGGCTCCCCTTCATAGATGTGTCACTGTAAGAGCAAAGCCTTACAATTCTTAGGATCTTCCATAATCACTAAATTCAAATATTTAGATTGATTTCAAGGATTTTTGTTTTATAACAGGGTTTAAGGAAGAATGTAGATATAAGAGACAGGCTCTTTGCTATGTTTAATTTTATTTTTATTATTTTGTGTGAGCATGTGGTTACAAATGTGCATGTACACCCATACATGCACAAGGAAGCTAGAGGGATTTGTCAGAGGTCTCCTCGACCACTCCCTACATACTCCCTTGAGAGACTGTCTCTCACTGAACTTTGAGCTTGCTGTTTTCAGCGACATCAGATGGCCAGCAAGCTCCCCGCATCTGCCTGTCTCCACCCCCCAGAACTGGAATGACAGTTGTGTGGGGGCCTGTCTGGCTTTTAATGTGGGAGCTGGGGACTGGAGCTTAAGTCCTCACATTTGCTCAGCAAGAGCTCTTACCCAGCAAGAGCCCCTATTGTGGCTTTTTTTTTCACTTTTAAAAAGTACTTTTATTTACTTATTTGGGGCAGGGGTAATGCCTGTGGCGGTCAGAGGACAACTTGTAGAAGTCCTCAGTTCTTCTCTTCACCCATGCAGGTTCCAAAGACCAAACTTAAATCACTAAGCTTGCTGGTAAGCACTTTTACAAACTCAGCCATCTTTCGGCAGCTCTCGTCCCCCTATTTTCTTTATTTTGGTTTTTTGGGGGGTTTGTTTGTTTGGCTGAGGATCTTAGGTAGCCCAGACTAGTCTGAAACTAACCAGGTAACCAAGGGTGACCCTAACTCCTGATCTACCTACCTCCATTTCCCAAATACTAGGATTAAATGTGTGTGTGTGTGTGTGTAACTTAATTTCTATAAGTGATTATTGCCAAAAGCAGTGAAAACAAGCACTCTGCACATATTTGGTAGCTCAAAAGGGACCTCACAGTACACGTGAATCTTCTGAGGATTCTCTGCCAGACATGTAGAGGCCAGTAGGACCAGATATAGAATCAGAAATTGACATTTTTAGCAAGTGTTTCCATGGGTTCTCGTGCAGTTTGTCTGAGAACAGTGTTGAAAAACACTGAATTTTAAAAACCATGATAAAAATACCTTTATCATTCATATGATGATTTAGGTAGTAAAGCTTTCTCATCATTTCCTTTCTACCTCCAATGGTGTTTTTTGCTTGTATTTGTTTGTTTGTTTTTTTCCAAACAGGGTTTCTCTGTAGCTTTGGAGACTGTTCTGGAACCCTCTGGGAGTAAAGGCATGCACCACCACCACCCAGCCCAATGGTGGTTTTAAAGAGAATACAATGGGAGAACCTCTGTGGAAGGGAGAGGTGGAAGATGTTCATCTGGAAAAGAAAAAGTAGACCTTTCCCTGAGGGAGAGACAGATTTTTAAAGCTATCACAGTCCATCATTCACTTTTTTCCTTCCCAGAGCCAACCCTTAGAAGCTCTTTGGAAATTTTCAGAAAGTTATTGCAAAGTTAGGAACCTTTATCCTCTAGCCTGGTTGTCAGCAGAATGTGGGAGAGCGTCAAACAATGACTAAAAAAGGTTCAAATGGGGGCTGGAGAGATGGCTCAGTGGTTAAGAGCAATGGCTACTCTTCCAAAGGTCCCATGTTCAATTCCCAGCACGACATGGCAGCTCACAACCATATGCAACTCCAGTTTCAGGGTATCCAACACCCTCACACAAATATTTATGCAGGCAAAGCACCAATGCCCACACAATTTTAAAAATAAAATAAAAATAAAAAGGTCCAAATGTCAGAGGGAAGCATACAAAGTCTATTGGAAGGGGGGAGGTCCTTTCTCAATATCCTCCATCCATGCCCACCAATATCTGTCTTGCTACCTAACATTTCCCCTAAAGAGCTGAGACCTTAAAATCACTTATGAGATGGACATGAAGTCAATCTGGAAAGTTCTGGCTGAAGTTCAGACACATTGGGTTTAGTATCTCCATACTTGCTGACTTCCAGGTATTGGAGGGCAAATGAGGGGACCCAGAGAGTGGAGTTAGATTGTCACAGGATCAGCTAATCATGGATTGGCTGTCAACAAGACTAGATAAAATTAAGGATCAGTTGAATACACAAAGTCAGAAAATTAATAGTCTCACTACCAAGATTGTAACAGGTTAAGTTGAGAACACAAGTCCAAAGATTAATAATGTCACTACCAAGAGTCTAATGGATACAATCTACTTTCTACTACAAAGATCCAGGAATTCTTTTTTTTTTTTTTTTTTTTTTTTTTTTTGGTTTTTCGAGACAGGGTTTCTCTGTGGCTTTGGAGGCTGTCCTGGAACTCGCTTGGTAGTCCAGGCTGGTCTCGAACTCACAGAGATCCGCCTGCCTCTGCCTCCCGAGTGCTGGGATTAAAGGCGTGCGCCACCAATGCCCGGCTCCAAGCTTTCATACTTAATAAGACGTCTCTGTGTCATTGTTTGGGACCTGGAGGTCCAAAGAAAGTCCGACTACATACAAACTATTTTTTTTTTACTGTTAGGGAAAACATGATCATCTTCTCATATCTTACAACTGGAGATGTCCACCTGGCTCTCAGTAGCACATACTCAGGGCTTATTTAATAGGGGAGACCTTTAACACTTGGATCCTTCATCTCTTTTAAAGCATAGTTTCATTTTGTTGCTGTTTTATATTATTATCAATCATTTTAATCATTAATCACATTTTTCTGCTAGATGTTTAAGACCATATAGGTGAGGATTTAGTCCCCAGGGTCACTTGGGCTTGGGAAGAGCCCCTAGCTCCTTCAGCCTTTTTTTGCCCTCATGTTTGTGCCCCTTGCGTGTGCTTGGTGCCTGTGGAGGTCAGAAGAGAGCATAGGATCTCCTGGAACTAGAGTTATGAATGGTTGTAAGCCACCCTGTGGGTGATGGGAACTGAACCAGGTCCTCTTCAAGGACAACTGCTCTTAACCATTGAACCATCTCTCCACGGCACCATTAGCCTTTTTTTAACCAGCTGTGTCATCTGCTGAGGAGGGATCAGGCCTTGCTGACTGTGGCTCTCCTTGGAAACACTGATGGCATATCCTTCTGTGTTGGCATTCCTCTTTATAGGATTTATACATGTTAGAATCCAGTTTGGAGGAGTCTCACAGACTCTGCACACACAGGAGAGCAGGTGACTTCCCATAGTCCCTTGGGAGCTAGCTAACCTTGGAGAATAAGAATTAAATAGTGTCTCTTTTAGACTTTCTGTCCGTGGATTTATAGGCCTTCAAATATAGTTATTAGATACCTAAAAACTTGGGCAAAAACTAAACAGGTTTAAATAAATCTAGATTAGACATAGATTCTTGTTCTTTAAGCTGGTACTTGTAAATGCTGTCAACAACAGATCGATAACAGATCTTAAGAGAATCTTCCTGATTTACGCAGAAGTGTTATTGAA